GACTTCTACTACTCCACAGATAGAGGTGCGTCAATGCCTCCTCCATTATGTGCTGTAGTGAAGTGCCAGCTCGGAAAACAAGCAGTTGGAGCAACAATAACTGCCTCTCTACCCATGTACAACAGTAATAAACACAACAATGCTCCTTATGCAACTCGTACTATTTATGATTTATCGATTGTTTTGGATCAAACTCTCAGACTTTGAGATAAAGCATATTGAAGAGTGTGAGAGACTCATACAGAGCATGTATAACCTAATGTAGGTTATCCCTAAAAGTGTGTTTCCTTCCATTGTTCCATACAAAACAAATGTCACTTTGCACATAACAAACTTGAGCGGAAACACTGAAAATGCCTTCCCTTTTCAATGGTTTGAATGTACCCAATGAGAGGGATAGTGGCCCTATCTGTTTATCTTGATGCAACCAACTCATCTACGTCATCTTCATGGAAACACATCTCAAATAAATTGAGGCTTTGTGAGATTTTGGCAGAATCCTAGGTGTCGAGGGCTCTGCAAATCCTCCATTTATCTGCTTGAGGTCACAAGGGGCCTCAGTTTGACCTTCTGCAGACTTTCAGAGTGACTTTGCTGAATTATTTAGAATTGTTGTTATAATCTGCAAAGTTAGGCAGGCAGTGTTTGGTTTTTTATTCCATCTGCGCTGTGAGGATTTTCAGTCGAGGGCTTATTGTGAGTATAAAGTTAGCATTATTAATCATCACATGTAAAAGAGACAACTAATGAATTATCATCAACTATTGATCTTGCATTAGTTGCCAATATAACCACGGTAAAAGAACCATTTAAAACAAATACTTCAATTCATGTTCTCGGAAACATTCAGGTCTTAAATCACTTCTTTAATGTTTATTTAAAAAAAAAAAGGAAACCAATTGGTAGTTATTTAAAGAGATTTGTCTAGGTTTCTCTTTTGTATGTTTACTATTGCTCTTTATTAAAGGTATCAAGTATTTCTTATCTGATTTCTTGGTTATCGATGGGATAGTCAATAATCGATGACTGAAATAATCAATACTTGCTGCCCTAGTCTTAACTGATTAAGTTGTTTCCCCCCCCTGCTCCATAGGGTATGTATGTACACCACAGCTTCAATAAAACCTCCAAAGGGCTACCTTCAGATGATAGAAGCAAAAGTAATTACTCAGATCAAAATAATTGACAGCGTTGAGACCCATGTTTCTTGCAGAGGTTGAACAAAATATATTAGTAGGTCTTAAGAACTACCTATATACCGTAATTTTCGGACTATAAAGCGCACCTGCATATAAGCCGCAGCAGCTAAATTGAATGATGTGTACATATATAAGCCGCACTGGACGATAAGCCGCAGGTGTTTTAATGTTTAATTACCATATGTAAGGGTTCGTGCACAGAGGGGATTGTCGGGAAAGAGATGGCTGTTTGAGGAAGCTCCCATTTATTAACATTTCAACAAACAAGTTGCATATTTGCATAACGTATTCAAGTGTTACCATTTAGTGCAATAGTAGCTACAGCACATGTACTGTGCTGTGTAAACTGTACTGTATCACATAGCGTTTCAGACACACAAACTTTTCAACTTTCAAACTTAAACGGTGCGCTCCCAGCGCACGTACCGGCAGGGTTTGTGCATGAAAACTTCCTTTGCACAAACTGTCTCGCTCTCGTAATGTCTGTCTGTCTTGCTCTCGTTCTGTCTCTCGTACCACTCTCGGTTCCACTTTTACTTTGGCGCGCTACCTGTCTCACTCTTTTCCGGCCTCCAGCTTTTCCTGCTGGAGCCCGCCGCTTAAAGGTGGCGGGCGCGGACCGGTCATAGAGCCCATAGTGTTAAAGGTGGTGGACTGTAACCTGTAAAATCCATAGATTTAGGAGGTTCCCTAGTGGCCGTTAGCTGTAAAAATCCATAGATTAGCCGCACCGTTATATAAACCGCAGGGTCGAAAAATGGGAAAAAAGGCGCGGCTTATAGTCCGAAAATTACGGTAATTAAAAAGACAGACAGTTCTGCCATTCCCCTTTGTCAAAAAACACTGACACAAAGATTATTCCTCACCCACAAACAGGTAGGTATATAACCTGTTATCGCTGGCTTGTGCTTTTCCTTGCACTATTAATATAAATAATATCCTACTTTTATATTGTGTTAGCTGTAAATTGGCACTCAGTGTTTTATTTGGCAGATAGTTGACAGATTTTTATTGTCACGGTCAACTTGTATATTTTCTGCTTTTTTAGTTCCGTTTTATTTCTATCTTGATATTTTATAATTTTTTTGTATTTACTACTCTTTCATTTTTAATTATGTGCAATGCTTTGTCCAAATTTCAGATCAATAAAATATATCCTATCTCATCTTTTTTCAGGATGTCTCATACAGTGGCTTTATATGGACATATGTTGGTGCATTTTTGCAAGGAAACAAGCAACTTTGATGCCCGACTCAGTCTCTTGTGCATGATTAGCTCTGATAGGATAGCCATCATTCTAAAGCACATGTGTGATTGGACATATTAGGTATTTTAGCCAGCCACAGTATCGAATACTTCATAAAACAACCCCACCAGTAACCCTGCTGCCTTCAACCTGTTTGGGATTATCTGACTTTTCTGAGCACACACCAGTTTCCCAGCATTCTCAGTAATTAGAGTCTGACTGTATACAAACAAGATAGGACAGACCCCTTTGAATGAAGGAAGAGAAAAGGGAGAGACACAGAAAAAAGACGCGGTATGCCTCATGAAATATACCCCCCACCAATGTAACCTGTCAGTCACTTCTTTTTCATCCTCCCTCACAGCTCCTTCATGATTTTGCTTGTTTTCTTCCTGTCTTTCAAATTAGTGGGAGGCAGATAAGCTGGGAAGAAAATGAATTAATATCCCCCCTGCCACAACATGTCTACATTAATTACATGACAACTGTGAAGAGCAACCCATCATTATTTTATATTAAGAGTGTTCCTGTTGTTTGCTATCTTATTATTTCTCTCACATTAATCTCCCTTATTTTTATTATTTTGCAGTGCTTACATTCATCAACTGACCATTTACTTAACAATGTCGCCTTTACTTACTGTGACATGTGTTATCACAGGTTATTTATTTTTACACTGATAATTTGGTTGAAATGACAACTGTCACAACAGAGGTTATTTTTTACTTTTTCTTGCTTCAGACATGATTTCACCGTTTTAAAATGAAACATGGGCAACACAGTGATATACAGTGTTGTGCTAGTTACTGAAAACCAGTAACTAGTTACCATTACGAGTTACTTCATTTAAAAAGTAACTCAGTGACTTTACTAGTTACTTACCCCAAAAAAGTAATGCGTTACTGTGGAAAGTAACGTTTTAGTTACTTACAAAAAGGGCTCCCATTAATGCCCTTATAGCCTTCATTTCAATACTGTTATTGCATTGGAGAATAATACAATCTGTTGATCAACTTCACATGCCTTATATGCAATCTGGATTGCATCGATATTAGCTGGCTTTCCATTTTTGTATATTCTTTCTCCAGGTAGTTGGAAAAAGTTTCCCGTCCCATATGCCGTGTGCCGCCCGGACATGCTATCATGCTAACTAGCTCCCTGAAAGCGGGTGACTCCACTGTAGCAATAGCCTGCATGTGTTCTACAACATACCGTGCAATGGCTTTATCAACTTTTCCCTGGCCAGCAGTCCCTTGGTTAAAATCCAGCCGCTGTTGCTTAGGTGGAGGTGGAGTGGCGTCGGCTGAGTCTCTGTGGTCTTAGCTACTAGCTTCGTTCCAGCATGTTATTTTTGCAGATGTTTTAAGAGATTTGAATTACTGGTTTGGGCAGTAGATAGGATATTTGACCCGCCAAGACACAACTTACATTTAACTAAAACGTTCTTTTCTTTGTGCTCGACAAAAGTGAAATAGTGAGAATATCTCCAGGTGGAGAAACTAGACTTGAGCTCCGCCGCCGCCATGATAGTCTTGTTAGTAAACAACACAAACACGCCCACAGCTCGTCTCCGCATGTGACACAGGAAGTACATTTACTCAATCTCTGTTCGCCTGGCTGTTGACTATATAAAACAAACTAACGCAGTAACGGAGTAACGCACCATGTAGTAACGGTAACTGGGTTACTGCATTTAAAAAGTAATGCGTTAGAGTACTAGTTACTGCAAAAAATAACGCCGTTACAGTAACGCGTTACTGTTGCAGGCTTGTGAGAATTTCTTGTAGTATTCGGCCAAAATCTGATCAGCTCATTTTCAGACAGGTTTTTATATAAATGGATCAGGACAAAAAGTGAGCGAATCATTTTTCATGAAACTTTCAGAATCTCTTTACACAGAGGGGACACATGTTTAGGTATACACGACATGAAAAAGTGGATTTTGCTTAATAGGTGACCTTTAAGATGAAAGTGCAATCCATATGAATTGCATCCATACCCTTACCTTTTGCAATGGTGTTTTTGAGTTTTGGGAAGGCACACTGTTCACTAATTGTTAGTGTTAAAATTGTATACTTACAGTAAGTATATGGCCCAGATTATATCTGAAGAGGTAAGTGTTGACAACAGAATCACATCAGAGATGCTTGTTGAGCGTGACCCCTGCTACTCTAGCAAATATTGATACAGAGCGATGTCCTTAGCACACAGCAGCAGAAATAATGTGACAGTTTAAAGAATTGGAGGTTTATCACTGCACCTGGTTGAATGGATTTCTGCTTAAACCCATCGACACACAGGGTGTAATGGCTGTCATCCGTTTGCAGTTTTATCATTCAGAGAGATTATCGTTTGGAGCCATGAAGGCAGTCGATAAATTCAGCCCACAGAAATCAATGAAAGTTGAAGATGTCAATGGGGTCGACATTATAAACTATTCTAGTTGTGTGTGCACGTTTTTCTATATGTGCATGTGTGATTAGAGACATAAGGATACATTGAGCCAACTGTGAAAGATGGCGATCAGAAGGTGTGGGGGAAGCTGCATTGTTTACCTGTCGTAGTCTCCATTGCAGAGCGCTCGTACTGGGATAGCGAAAGGCTGCCACACTGGATTTAATGTGTTCTTCACCACCTCAGTTTTATGGCAGATAGTAAACCTAGAGGTGGAGGGAAATTAGGAAAATATATTAAAAAATAAAAATAAACAGAGAAATAAATGTTGACATTATGTTTTAAATTACAAAAGCCAGGGCGAAAGATTCATTTTCAAATAAGGGGATGAGCGATTCTCTAAAACAGAAACAGGAAAAACAAGGCTTGTTTAAGATGACCCAAACTTTTAATATTATTTTTCAAAATGTTCAATTGTTTTGAATGAATAGCATGATGTTTAATTATTTTGTCAGAGGCTCAACTGTCTGAAACATGGATACAGCAAGACTAGAGCAAAAGTGTAAAATGTTTATTGCACAAATTAAGCGATATGGAATGGAGTTATCACTCAGGAAATGGAATCACTCCTACATTAATACTGATAGTGCCAAAGATGATTATGTCAATACAATAACAGCGGGATATCTATTGCATTCACATCGACAGCTTCTTAAGTCTAGATAACTTGGAGCTGTTCAACTTCAGAAGCACTTTCTAAAACCTCCTGCAAATGGCTACTCGTCTCTACCTTTGAGGCAAGCTGTAGCTCCTCTAAAACAAGCCTAATGTCAAGTCCTACAGTGACAATAAATAGGGCTGTACCCATCTTTGTTTATCACTTGGCTGTTTTATTGTGTTTTAGACCCCGGAGAATAACTAGATATTTTGGTCTGGCTTTTAAATCCTTTCCCTTGACCCTATGTGACAATGATATGCAAATGTATTCCTCTGATATCTGAAATGCTTCGCTGAGCAGAGTCAAATAATTTGCTATCAAATTCCGCCAAATATCCTCTCCAAAAGCAACAAGGCTTTTTTACTTGTGCCTCAAGCCTTTTAAAACCGTGTTAGTCCTTTAGCTGCATATACCACTAATTTGTAACACCCTCTGGCAGCAAACACAGATAATATAGCACATCTTTGGAGATCCATTTCCCACCCTGTTATGTATTAAAAAAAATACTGCGAAAAGTTGGAAGATGGCTAATGAAGCACTTGCTAAAGCAGCTCCGGTAAGATAGGGCTGACGCTGACACATCTGCGCAGTCCCTCGGGAAGCTGAACAGCACTTTGGGAAGGCGTGAAGAGATGGGGGAAGTGTTGTGAATCCCTCTGTGAATTGCCTTAGAAACTGACACTGTTTTTCCTATTGATGGAAAATGCAGATTTATCTTAATCTTGCTTTTATGCTTTTTTCTCCATTTCCTTTTGGATCTGCTGGAGTCATTTAGGTAAGGTATAGTCATGGGAGTAGTGTTTTGAACAGGATACTTGCCTCTGTATGCAGCTTTTTAAGTTGTGCTTGTATCCGTGACCACTGCAATTCTTCTCCATAAAGTCTCACCACTCTCCTCTCTTCAATGTTCCTGCTGTTTGTGCCTCTCCCACTTCCCCATGTGATTCTGATTTTTTGCTATTATGTTACTGTAACCTTTATGATATTGTTCTTTAAAACTCATTTTTCTAAATTGTTTTTCAAAACTCTCATAGGAGCTCATTTAACCTGCTTCAAGAAAGGCAACCTAATATCTACCCTGGATATTGGGGAGCTTGGTAATACAAAAAACAGCAACTATTTTTTAAATGTGTTTGTCGATAGGATTTTCTTTAATGTACATCTCAGTGGAAAATGTTTGTCTCAGGGGGCTTTTCTGTCCACTGGCAGCACCTGCACTTCCTATGAAAACACTTGAAATAACAAAACTGAATCGCATGAAACACTCACGTTCCATCCTCGTTGCTTCTGTAGAAGACCATGAAAGGGTCCGACTTGCCGAAGAAATCTTTCTTGTCCAGTTTGTTGGCACAGAACTGCATAGTGGCGCTGTCCTACAGGGAAGCATGGAGATGTGGGAAGAGAAGTGTGAGAAAGGGTTTGGGGGGAAGGGTATATCATAACTTCTCTACAATGGAAGGTATTATTATTATTTATATGTCACTCTTCTTCCCCTGATTCTTCTCTTTTATCTTCTCAGCTCTCATCAGATGGAGGAAGCTGTGCATTACACAGGCTAATGAATACAGCATCACTGCTGTAGTCTCTGTTAATGTTTATGGGTGTGTGTATGTGTTTTGTATATGATTGATTGTATTAACCTAGTCCATTACTGTACACACATATTCATATTGTTTGGTGGATGCCGTTTGAACCAGAGTAGCAGCATGGAGGTCGGATCGTCACCAAAATAAATAAATAAATGGCCCGAAAAAGGTTAATGACAAAATAAATACACATAGCCTTCCTCAGGCAGTGTGTTTGTACCGGGACAGGAGACCCCCCCCCTTGTAATATAATAATTGTATAATGCCTGTGTCAGCAAAACGCAGCTTCATTTTTGTTCAGATGCACTGACAATGACACCTACCGCGAGTCAATCTGCTCAATCATCCTCCCCCTAAAACTATTAGCTGCTGAGCTAATGTGCCTTGCTCAAGAGCAGCTCAGTAACAGCCATTGGAGATCTTTTATTCGTTTTATTTTCCCAGACCTTTCCAGCAGGTTTTTAAAATTGAATGATTGGATTCTCTCTGCAGGCCAGGGGCCTCATGTATAACGCCGTGCGTAGGATTCACGTGGGAAGGTTGCTTACGTAGTAGAAATCCGAAAAATAGGTCCATAAATTTTCCGCCACTTCCCGATTCACCAAACATTGCGTACCGGCAAGGAAAGTGCATATGGCACTTCCTACGCCGGTTTCCCTTTATAAATCACAACCGACTCGAAATGCGGTGCAGCTTTTGCGGGCTTCACGTAACGCCCATATTTGCCTATAAATAGTCAAATAAACGCCCATTCATTCATTCATTCTGACTGACTGCATGAAGAAGATCGCAGGAAATGACGACAGAACAGTTAAAAAATACATCTCACACCGTGTCAGATGTGGGTTATTTTGGGGAGGTGGACATAAATCATATTGTTTGATGGATGCAGTTTGAACCAGAGTAGCAGCATGGAGGTCGGATCGTCACCAAAATAAATAAATAAATGGCCCGAAAAAGGTTAATGACAAAAACAATACACATAGCCTTCCTCAGGCAGTGTGTTTGTACCGGGACAGGAGACCCCCCCCCCCCCCCTTGATGAGAAACTGTAAGAAATGATCGGGGAATCCCTCCGGAGTGGAGTCATGACGACTGGATCTGAATTATGTTTTTGTATTTGGTGGTTTGTGTTCCAGCTTTTGATCAGCAACTATATATCCATAATCCACCAGTTAAAGGAAATACAACGAATGTGTTGTGTTATATTAGCTGTACAATTTACCACATATGGTGTTCTTAGCTTCCATACCTCCTGTGTTTTACGAGCGACTTATCAAGTCTTGGCAAACGGCATAAAACACGATTAAACGTGATAGTATATAAAACCATGCTCGTATCTACAGTACAAGTATACAGTACAATACAGTAAATACTTTGGAAGAATGCTCTTCACCTATTTGAATGAAGATATATTACTTTATTTACTTTGTAGTGTGGCTGTCACCTTTTTCCACTCTATGAACTGCAGGCAGTCAGCCTACCATACACTTTAGCCTTATCTATCACCACAGCCTAATGGTGTGTGTGTGAGTGTGTGTGTGTGTGTGTGTGTCTTCAAGTACTGTATGCAGGCATTTTAATCTCCAACCATTGTACCTCATCCACCCACCTGTAGTCCTGCTAACGTCAGTGCCAGCTGCTTACCAAGTCTAATTCTAGCATTAGTAATTGTCATCAAGCTAATCTATTCTGATACCTGTCACGGCATCTGGAAAGCAACAGATGCTTCCAATATATTTCAGCCTCAGAGAAACAACAAACTACTCTGGGTCTTGTATTTTTCTAATATCCTTTGAAGGCTGCTTTTGCATGTTGTTATAATCAAATACAAATTATGTTGTTTTCCATTTAGAGCCATTTCAGAACTGTTGGGTATCATTCTGATAGTAAAATATGTTCCTAGTTAGCCATAGTGTACAGTAGATATTACAACCTGTTAAGCCCGAGCCTGTTTTTCAGGTCTCAGGCTCGAAAATGACATTCCCAGAACAAATGACCATATCTTCCCTTCTAAAAGGGTTAAATTAATAATCTTTTTTCTCAAAGCAAGGTTACACCTGTGAGTTCGATGTAGAAGTGTCAGAATCAATATAGATTTTTTTATTTTAAAGTCAATTCAGATTGAACACAGTGCCAAAATGTAAATTATTGTGTCCAAAAAAAAAAAATTACTTATAGTGAAAACCACCCTTGAATGATGGGATGGTAGACTAAAAGCTTTAGGAATCCAAAGTACAACATATAATAAGTACCCTGTATCAAGATTGATGCAAAACAAGTGCAATTTAGCACAAAAAAAACACTTCTGGGGTCATTTGGGTGGGTTTAACATATCTCTGGCCCCCCTTGGTCGATTTTGATGAATGACATTTCTTTCTAACCGTCAGAGCCAATGGAGGGGGAACTCCCACATACACACACACATTACCAAATAAGGAGTGAGAGTGACGCATAGCCAAAACCGGAAGCTGCGATAACTCTGGTGGCTACCATTAGCAGCTAACTTTTACTCTCCGATTTTTACATAAAAATTGAATTATGGATTATAAATAATTTTTTCAAAGCCACAGACACATTATCAACCTATGGATTAACCGATTCAGCCGCGTTTTATCTCGTTTTAATGCCATTGAACACGTCTTTTGATCAGATTGACAGCTATGGTGAGACGATCTCCCGTAAAAGCTCCGTAAAGGTACGTGTTGTGATGTCTGTGTTTGCTTTCCCTGTCAAGAGTTCGGATCGCTCAGTGATGATACTATACCTAAATAATCTGTGGAACCTCAGCTTTAATCGGATATCTTGTATGTGCAGCTACGATAAGTAATAAGGGTATCTTTATCTTGAGTTCTGTGCCAAAGTGCGTTAGCATTTGTTGCTCAGGGCTCATTTGTTGCTCAGGGCTCATTTAGATGCTTCTTATGAGACATGTTTTGTTTTGGTAAAAATGGTTTGTATTGTCAGTTACTGTAGCTTAGATTCTTCCCGTTAATCTGGTATAACACATTAATAGGTTCTTAAATATTAAGATGCCCTGAGACACAGTGTCGTCAAAAAAAAGACCCGCCGGGGGGGTCTTTGGGGCTTAATTTAAGCAAGAATTGCAATATAAATCTTAAACTACTAAAAATATTTTTTTGTAGTAATTACCTATAAATTACTGACACTTTAATCACAGAATTTATGTAATAACTATGATAGTTGTTGAATGTGTAAGCATGGAGCCTTTTCAATATTCTCCAGTGGTATGCCAGAAAACACAACAACCAGGTTAGGTATCAGAACTGAAAAAATAAAACAATGCCAAGTGGTGTTGACACTCCTACGATCAAACAATACCTGAATCAAGATGATGAAGAAAAAGAATACTATTTGTATATATTTATTTTTGCAGAAAATCACTGTGTTACGACCCGGCTCAAAAGGCCACAACAAAGAGGAGACACACCATGTCGACGGTTAACAACATATGTTTATATAGGACAAACAAATCAAATCAAGTCAAAACCAATAAAGTATGAGGTGTGGATGTCAGTGGTATCAGTAATGTAAATGCAGGATGAGGATTGTATGGACATGTACAGTGGGGCAAAAAAGTATTTAGTCAGCCACCAATTGTGCAAGTTCTCCCACTTAAAAATATGAGAGAGGCCTGTAATGTTCGTCCTAGGTACACTTCAACTATGAGAGACGGAATGGGGGGAAAGAATCCAGGAAATCACATTGTAGGATTTTTAATGAATTAATTGATAAATTCCTTGGTAAAATAAGTATTTGGTCACCTACAAACAAACAAGATTTCTGGCTCTCACAGACCTGTAACTTCTTCTTTAAGAGCCTCCTCTGTCCTCCACTTGTTAACTGTATTAATGGCACCTGTTTTAACTCGTTATCAGTATAAAATACAACTGTCCACAACCTCAAACAGTCACACTCCAAACTCCACTATGGCCAAGACCAAAGAGCTGTCAAAGGACACCAGAAACAAAATTGTAGACCTGCACCAGGCTGGGAAGACTGAATCTGCAATAGGTAAGCAGCTTGGTGTGAAGAAATCAACTGTGGGAGCAATTATTAGAAAATGGAAGACATACAAGACCACTGATAATCTCCCTCGATCTGGGGCTCCACGCAAGATCTCACCCCGTGGGGTCAAAATGATCACAAGAACGGTGAGCAAAAATCCCAGAACCACACGGGGGGACCTAGTCAATGACCTGCAGAGAGCTGGGACCAAAGTAACACATGCTACCATCAGTAACACACTACGCCACCAGGGACTCAAATCCTGCAGTGCCAGACGTGTCCCCCTGCTTAAGCCAGTACATGTCCAGGCCCGTCTGAAGTTTGCTAGAGAGCATTTAGATGATCCAGAAGAGGATTGGGAGAATATCATATGGTCAGATGAAACCAAAATAGAACTTTTTGGTAAAAACTCAACTAGACGTGTTTGGAGGAGAAAGAATGCTGAGTTGCATCCAAAGAACACCATACCTACTGTGAAACATGGGGGTGGAAACATCATGCTTTGAGGCTGTTTTTCTGCAAAGGGACCAGGACGACTGATCCGTGTAAAGGAAATAATGAATGGGGCCATATCGTGAGATTTTGAGTGACAACCTCCTTCCATCAGCAAGGGCATTGAAGATGAAACGTGGCTGGGTCTTTCAGCATGACAATGATCCCAAACACACCGCCCGGGCAATGAAGGAGTGGCTTCGTAAGAAGCATTTCAAGGTCCTGGAGTGGCCTAGCCAGTCTCCAGATCTCAACCCCATAGAAAA